CATTTATTCCATCATTCTTGCCACTTTCTGAAGCAGTTCTGGAGTCCTTTTAGGTGTCTTTATGAGGTATGATAAAAATTACAGTGACTGCTGCTGGGTTCCAACTCGATAGAAAAGTAGGCTTTGCTGTCCTCATCCAGCTTATTCACACCATGTTATTCCTAGATCTGGCACAATGCAACTTATGGCTCTTCTCTACGAGTCAAAATGATCACAAAAGGTAAACATTTTGAATCAATTCAGGACACTGCGGCAGCCATGACAGTGCAACTAAAAACCTTCGTGAAAGAGGGCTTCCAGAACTGCTTCACAAAGTGGAAAGAATGACAGGATGTGTTCAAAGGGAGTGGGAGTATTTTGAGAGGGACTAATGGCAATGTGTCTTTTACTGTAATCAACTTTTAAAAAAAAATTTTAAAATGCACTGCAGTTTTTTATTGTACTTCATATTATCCTCCATACTTGATGCTTCAATGTCCCAGTTTAAATATTTCAATGGTTTTTAGAATCCTCTGCTGAATCTGAGCTCTCTTTAGCATCTGCCCATTTAAAGTGTTCACTCCCGGGGGGGGGGTAGGGGAAAGGAAAGAAGGGAAAAGAAAAAATGTGAGAAAAGGAAAAAAATGGAAACAAAGTCTTTATAAATAGGGAAAGGTGGAGGGGGTGAAGGGAGGACAGGGGAATGGGGAAAAAATAAGACCCAAGATACATCATGTAAAGGTACAAGATTCCAATGATGATATAACTGTATTGTATACCTAAAAGGTACCAATAAACTTAATGAAAAAAAAAAGTAGAAGGAGAAAAAAAAATAGTGTTCACTCCAATTCTGAAGTAAAATTATTCTCAAATCCCTTCTCTATATGATCCCAGCTTCTTCCACAAGTCTCCCAAAGTTTCTGTGCATTTTCAAATAGTAAGAACAAAAAAATATATATAATACCTTAATGTGTTATAAATATTTTAATTATTTGATAAGAATTTTTATACGCAGTAATATGAGGTTTAAAAAAAAAACTGACACTAGCCAGGTACTAAAACTTATCAGGTATATAAATATGAAATTAAGGAGTAGCTCTATGTCACCCAGGACTAATCCAAGAAATAAAAAAAGAAATAAGAACATGTAATTTATAGTACATGTCAAAATATGTACCTTACATGTCCTGAGGTCATAACACTTCTTAAACATAATAATGTATATGTCACTAACATGATAAGAACTTGTAATGGAATAATTAATCGGTGACCAAAAACATTTATCAAAGACAAAATACAAGATGTCCTAGCTTTTCATTTATAGTGACAATGCAAGCTAAAACTATGCAAAGTAATCTTAATAATTAATGGCGAATAGATGCAGAAAAAGCATTTGACAAAATCCAACACACATTTGTGATAAAAACCCTACAAAAAATTGGAATAGATGCTCTCTACCTCAAACTGATAGAAGCCATCTATGAAAA